TACTCCCTCTTTCCTTCACCACCCATTTACTTCCTTTGCAAAGATGCTACTGCCAGCTACTACACAAAATACAGTTCCCAGTCTGAAGAATTTACACTCAGGTGAGTAACAATAAGCACAAAGACTAGAGATCAAATTAGTTCATTACTGGAAGGATGACCAAAACTAGTTCAGAATTGGACATTCGTTTGGTCCTCATTAGAAAGAGAAGTTCATAGTTTCTCTCAAGGTTAATGGCAAAACTATTTTAGCTACCTTCTAATTAGTTCTTTCAAACTCTTCTAATCTATCATACTATCTGCCACAATTTTATTTTTTACTGCTTTCAGTAATACTTTTCAGTCTTCATCTCCTTCCCAATTCATTCACCTGACTCTGGGTCATCTATACTAAGGATTTCTTGCCAAGGGATTTATTTCATTCCTTACCAATGTTGTTTTTTTTAATTCTTTCTAAAGGAACTGTAAACAAATGCTACTTAAAAGCTGAACACTTCTGTACACTGGTACAGTAGGAAAGTGAAGGTAGCAAGATACAGGAACAAAAACTAACACTCAGCAAAACAAATTCAAGTGATCAGCCCTAGATGTACTGGTTTAATAACCAACTTTCATACCATCATCTCAGATATTAATATCTCACCTTTTTACTCCTAAGATTTTATAGTAATCCCTCTTCTGTGATTGCTTCAGCATCCTCTGGGCACGTTCTAGCCCCTCCCGAATCTGCTGGTCATTTTCACTATTGGCTTGAGCAGTCTCATAGTCTTTAATAGCTTTATAAAAAAAGTGAATGAAAAAAGATTACACAACTCTTTACAAACTTCAGTGGTTTTTTTTGTGGTTTTTTTTTTTTTTTTCAAATTAGAAAACCTTGGAGTGGAGGAGATTCATTTTCACATATAAATTGGGTACTTTTCTTTCTTTAGGTTCATCACACTCTTTGGAAAGGAAGGAGAAAGAAGGTTACTAGCAGCAGATCAGAAAACTCTCTAGATGTTATAGAAGTCACATGGATGATCATCACGAACATCTAGGACTGAGACGAAACAGAAATCAAGAAGCAACTTTCACCAACTAGCATTTGAAAAGCCCACTGCACAACATTAGTTCCATACATTGCTGTTCAACTGAAGGATGCATTATACAGAGCCTTTAAATTCATATTCCTTCTTCTCCCACAGTCTGCTCTCAACACGCTAGAAAGTCTCTTCCTCTTTAACGACAAAGATGGATTTCAGGTTACCAGTAAATTCACACTGTTAGTTATTTAAAAAAAAAATATTTGCTTTTTAGGCCTCTGTATAATATGCACAGTTATATTTTGAGTTTTTTTTTTTCCAAAGGAATGCTCTCACTTTTAATTCCTGAGAAATGCAACTCTTGAAATAAAGCAAGAGAGGTGCTGTAATGTATTCATGAATTTAAGAGATTCTGGGTCTACTTTTTTTTTTTTTAAGTAAACTATGTTAATATCATAAGGGGTAACTGAATGCTTAAGACACCAAGTTTAAATATTCTTTGATATCAAGATTTATCAAGGGAAGCAACTGTTGAAGTCTTTCATGAGACTGCTCTTCTTTCACTGTTACAATCCTCAAAGTCTCATTTGCAGATCCAAGTCTCCTAGGTTTCTCAAGTTAGGCAAAGTACTTGCATCAGATTATTTCCAAGCAGATGCTATTCCTCAGCAGGTGTTACATTTGTTTTTCACTGTTTCTGAGCAAGACAGCAGGAAGTGCTAATGAATTTATATTACCCAGACATCTGATACTACTGCAATCTTATTTTGGTTATTGAAAAAAAAATTCCAAAAAGCATTTCCAGTGCCCCAACAATTTTATATGCTATTACAAACGAAACAAAATTTCTATTAATTTTCACATCACTGGACACTGTCATTTTCTGCTTGAACAAAGCATTTTGGCTTCTGCTGATATTTTTAAGTCATTTAAAAAAACTCAACAAACGGGAGTGTACATGAATGTGTCCAATATATGCTGTCGAAACTGATAAAATAAAGAAAATGCAGAGTTTTCATTATGCTGCTTTACAGCTCCAATAATTTTAAGCACCAGTGTACTTAATCTGCTTCATGTAATAATGGGAGGTCCCATCACAACGTTCTGCCAAATGCAGATCAGATTGCTCAGCTTCACTGAGTATGACATCATCTACAGCACGCACCACTGCTGGCAACCAAGCTGCTCAGGGGTCAAGTATTTACAACCACAACACTAGATTTCTTTTTAAATTCACTCAACTTATTTAAAGGCTGCAACTATTAAGCATACAGGAAGGTACACTTTTAGTGCTGCACACTGCAAAGGGAACGCACCCAGCACACCTGACTGCAAGAGCATTTTGCACATTATGTCAGTTGGGAGACACTTCCATTTTCACAGAATCACAGAATCATTA